TATTTTTCCTGTTGATGAATGTGTAATTCAAGAGTATCAAAATCTGCAAAAGAGCTGCTTACCCATATAGTGATTATCAAAGTCTTTTAGTTAAATGATGTTTACACTGTTCCTTAATTGATTTGGTACTTTCAAGATCTACCCTGCCAGTTTGACAATTATGTACTCTAAGCTTTTCACACACTAAATGGCCAAAATAAGCAAAGCTTTCCTGCATATCAGATCTTCACCATGTCTTGCTCAGTACTAATAAGCTTGAGGGCTTTGTAGGTAATTTTTTATCAAGCCAATTTTTCCTCTTTTTTGTTTTCTTAGATTGCCACCAAGAGTGTTAGTTTTGTCAAATGCAGTCTGAATTTCTGTGGGTCTGAAATGAAACAATGAACCCTTTGAAGACACTTCTTTCAAGGTTGCACGTGATAATATTGAACATTACCAGCTGGATCAGTTTTGAGCTAGTAATATGATGGTATCATGGCCTATGGGTTCTTTCATTATTAAGTTTGTCAGACCCTAGAAGTTTGCAATACTTACTATCTTGCTTGCTAAGCATGATCTATTACGGACTTGAAAGAAAAATCCTGTATAAAGGATGGTGATACAAGGAGTGACCTGATGTACGTCAGGTCCCCAAAAGCAGTTTAGCATTAAGAAAAGGTAGTTTCTTATTCAGTTATTCTAGTTTGCTTAGTGACTGCATTTTGCATGGACCATTGCTTTCCTGAGCCAGCATCTGTGTGGCTCTGGCTGTGCAAGGTGGCAGCTGCTGTGGATTTTCTCCAGGGCAGTGAGCTGGCAAAGGCAATTTATGTCACTCATCCTGCCTCTGCCATCCAGGAATATGGGAGGAGTATTGAAGTAATGTACCCCATTCTGATACTTGTGGCATGACTAAAGACTGCTTTAGGCCATACGTGGTAATGCTTTGTAAGACTAAGTGAGCCAGGTAGTTTTTACCTGTCAGCAATTGCAATGTCATTGCTTACTTGAGCTTTTGGGTGAATCTGGGGTATTAAATACAGTTTTTCATCCAGAGTCCCTCAGCTGCACCAAGCACATCCCTAGTGTTGAATAAATAAGTAGTATTTTAGAAATCTTTTCTGTTGTTGTGAGATTCCCATCTGAGCACAAAGCAAATCCTCGGCTTCTTTGTACATTTCCAAACACTGAAAGAATTTGGATCATTAACAGTTTTCTTGAGTATTGATTTTTATGGGTACTGCATCTTTAATGCACTCTGCCATTCACATTCTTCACAGTAGTGTGGACACTGAGAATCAGTATTCTGCATGAAGTCAGTTGCCAGTATTACAAGTGATTCGTAGTAAATGTAAGAACTTCATCACTGTTGTAATTGTTTGATGGCAGTAACGAGGCATTTCACTTGAGACTTCTTCAACATAGGTAATCTTACGTCCAATTTAATATTAGATACAATTTTCCCACCATGCAACTGGCTGACAGCAACATCAGAACATTTCTTTCATCTCATTCCTACAGTTTAAGAAACAGACATCCGAGGCCTGAAAAAAGTAAATTAAACAAGAACGAAAATTGGCATTATGTCTCTTCTTTCAAGTTTGCATGGAGAATTTTCCACCCCTGTGTGCTCTGAAAAGGGCTGTAATCCAAATGACACACTGCTGATGCGGTGATCCAAAATAATTTTTAAGGCTTAGGCAAGTGCTGTGGGCTAAATTCAGCTTTCACTTAGACCTCATTCCAAATACAAAAATACGTAAAGAGGTGGTGAATTCTCATGGTCCAGCATTGCAGCAGAGATGCATCTAAACCATTCTGTGATGTAGAAAGAGCAAACTAAGACATATTAAAGTGGGGGAAAGCTGGGCACAGTAAGTGTATGGGCTAGAGCACTGTGATTGATCTCCTAAGGATATTGCAATCTGTCTGAGAGGCCAACGGGAAAACTGCTTATCATGCACAGCATTCATGCCAAATGAGCAGCTAGATTCTGACATGCTGTAGAAAAAATTAAGACACCAGTCTGGCCTCTATGAACTGGACAGTCCTGGGATCTAAAAGTAGTGAATTTCTTTTTTGGATCTCCTCAGCATAGTGTTTTTGCTGTGCGTGTGGTGGAGGTATTTGCTTGGATACCTCCACCTTGCTGACCCTTTGTGCTCTCTGTCTGTTTGCCAGCAGCTAGGTGCTTTTCACAGCTGAGGTTCCTCATCACAGCTGCATCCTCATTTGATGCCTCAGCCAGCTGTTTCTGCCTTTGCATAGCCTGTGCCTAGCTTGTGTCCTGTCTGAGCCTCCTTCTGTATTACCTTAATGTTGAATCATGTTATCCAAAGTAATACTCTCTGTTAGCTAAATAGTCTCCTTTTAGTTCAATTGGGAAGGCAACTTGGACAAGAAGCTTTATTGAATTTTAGTGAAAAGTAAAAGGTGCTGCAATGAGTCCAGAGAAAGGCAAGGAAGCTGGTGAAGAGGCCGTAGCAGAAGTCTTTTGAAGAGCGGCGGAGGGAGTTGGGGCTGTTTAGCCTGGAGAAAAGGAGGCTCCCTAAAACTACCTGAAAAGAGGTTGCACTGAGGTGGGGGTTGGTCTCTTCTCATAAGTGACAAGTTACAGGATGAGAAGAAATGACCTCAAGTTGCACAAGGCAATGGGGGGAGCAAGTTAGCAGCAGCAGGGTTTGGAGAGTCTCAGTAAGAGCACTAAACTGGGAAGTGTCATTCCTAAATCACAACAGTGTCCAAAGGTACAGTCTATATGAGAAAGTGTGCATGTATGTACATGTATACCAAGACAGTTTATCATTTTTATTCTTCCTGTATTACCATTTTGCTTCCTTGTTTTTTGTGAAAGGAGAGATAAGTGCATTTTGCAGCCTAACTTACTAGTTTCTTTTAGCAAGTCCTTTCACAATTGAGACAGAACACTTTGTTATTATGAAGAAAATTCTGACACTTTTAAAAATGCAGTGTAAAATATGCAGAGAGACTATCTGGTTAGAATTCATGCGAAATGAAAATGTAGCAGATAGGATGCTACCTGTTTTGAGTCACACCACTGAAAAAAATGCATGCTGGATGCCAGTAGCCCTATCTTTACTTATTGTATTCTTATAGCTTGTCTTGTGGATTAAACATAAAAGCAAGACCTTATTTAGCCACTATTTTTGTGACTTACCTGTCTTTAGACATTGTTATTAACTCAGGCTTGTTCTGTCAATTTTTGAATGTAAGGCTTTATCTCCTGAGCCTCTCTTTCTAGGCTGGAATATACAACCATTTCATGTCACTAGGGTCAAAAGGAAGCCAGCTTGCATGAGAAGTGTTTGATCTGTCTTCTGTCTATAATGCGATCTGTAATTCACACAAGAAGTCCAGATATTAAGAAACGAGGGAAGCCTATCAACCAAAGGCTTGCAAATATGTGCTTATCTCCATTCAGCTTCAATTTAAGCAAGCTACTTAAAATTCCAGTGGAATTCAAGAGGCATGAATTCTTTAGAGTCTAATAGAGGGCTGCAAAGATGATAAGGGACTGGGGCATCTTTTATATGAGGAAATACTGAGAGAGCTGTAACTGTTTAACCTGGAGATAATGAACTCAGGAGTAGATCCTGACAGTGTGAAAAAATACTTGATGTGAGGAAGTAAAGAACACAGAGCTAGGCTTTTCTGAGCAGTATCCAATGGTAGGATAAGAAGCAATGGACACAAACTGAAACACTAATAAATACTAATTAAACATGAAAAAAATTTTCACTGTAAAAATGCAGGACAAACATGCCCAGGCAGGTGTTAGAGTTTCCATCATTCAAGATAGTCAAAACCTGACTGGATGTGGTCCTGAGCGACATTCTCTAGATGATGCTGCTTTGAGCAGAGGGATTGGACAAGAACATCTCAAGAAGCCCTTTGAGATTCTAATCTCCGAGATTCTGTGATCTTATTTGCCTTCCACTGGGACATTTGTCTAATTTTGAACATCCGAACAGAAGAAAAAACTCTTTCACTGTGAAGGTGGCCAAAGAGTAGAATAGGTTGAACAGACAGGTTGTGGAGCCTTCTTCTGTCAAGATACTCAAACTCTGACTGGACACAATTCTGGAATACCTGCTCTAGCTGACTCTGCTTAAACAAGCAGCAGCAGACTAGATAATCTCAAGACATCTCTTTCAACCTAATTTACTATGTGATTATGTGAACGTAAACCAGTAGAGGCATACAGTGTCTTTAGGAAAAAGCTGAGAGGAGGCAGAGTTCTTCTATATTTTGAATTTTATTTTCCTGAACAGCTGTGGCTGACCCAATGAGGATTGTGGTTAGTTTTCAGGGTAAATCATAAGTCCACAATTTTTGTGGTGGGGGCTTAGAAGTTACTTCTTTGTATCTTATCACTCCTGACCAGTGCTCCATGCCTCCATTTCTCTTTCCTCCTGTGGGGTTGTGGCAGCGGTGACATAAAGCATTGAGTACATAGATACGTGAATTATCTGTGAGTACTTCATAGCTCATAGACCCAGATGTGTATATCTACTATATGTTTCATTACTTTAGGCAATAGTTTGACATCAGATGAATCCCATATTACATGTGTTTCTTGAGGAAAAGAATGCACAAGATAGAATTGATGTTACTTTTTCCTGAACAAGATTTGTAAGAATAAATCCTAATGAAGGAATATTAACCAGGGGCAACTGAGTAGATAGAAGTACAGTTTATCCTTTAAAACATACTCAAGTAAAGGATATCATATTAAGTTATAAACCTTCAGTAAGAAGTCAGTTGGCAAATAAAAACTGAAAAGTAAAAAAAAAAAAAAAAAAAAAAAAAAAACCCAAACTTGCACATGTAAACCAGTTGAAGGAATATATTAAACTGTATTTTAAAGAGAAATAAATTACAATCATATAAAGAAGATATAGCTGTTATTATAGCTGATTATGTTTTGATAATGTAAAAGAACTTTAAAATGCATGTGGTTTGACTCATTTTGATGATAAAAGTTACTTTTTCTTTTGCAGAAAATGATGAGGTCATCCGTGTTTCATATGTTCATACTAAGCATGGTTGCTGTCGATGTGATTGTTGCTGCTAGTAACTACTACAAAGGAGAAAATTTCAAGAGACAATATGATGAATTTTACCTAGCTGAGGTGAGTATGCTGAAATGACTATCTGGATAATTTTCAAGATAAGCTAAAGTAAAAAATGTGAATGTCAAGAACATTTTAATATGTAATTTTTTATTCCCTTAAGCATTCCGAGAATACTTTGCTAACTTGTTCAACTTCCTCTGTCTGACAATAGCTGACAGCTCTATCTTACAACCTTTTGAAAGGTAATTTCCTCAAACAAAATGTCACTGGTAATGAGCTGAGGCTTAAGAATAACATCTGCAGGCAATGCATGACTGCTAAGTTGCTATCTTTCTCTAGCAGGAGCATAACATTCAGAAGACTTTAAAAAGATGACAAAACACTTCCTTTTAAAAAAAATAATATAGGACTTCTCCTTAAATCATTTTTACATACTTAGCTTCCAGAAGGTCCTTAAGCATAACCAAAATAGTGTTACAAATAGTCTGGCTTCAGCAATCTGGAGAGCATACTGCAAAAAACCACATTTATCCAGTCATGAATTTGGTGAAGGAGGAGTCTGTGCTCCTGAACCAGTGAAGTGGAGGTACAAGTGACATTCTGACAGGGAGCCTGCTTGAGTCATTAGCTGGTCAAGGATTTTACTGTAGAACATGCACTAGCGATACTAGAACCTTCCATACATATCTTTTTAGTACTATTCAGTTCAGTTAAAAAAAAATAATTGAAATCTTTGGTACTAATGTACTGGCATAGCTTCAAATAGATACTTGTTTTTCCTGTATTGAGTGAAGTCAGTATTGTATGATTCTTTATTATAAAGATTTATTTCCATGGACATTGTGAATTGTGACTTTATCCGAGTAAAAAGCCAATAAAAAGATCAGTTCTTTCACCAGTGCACCAAGATCAATTCTCTCGAAGTGTTGATCACGGTTACCTGGGTTGGGTACATGTTTAGCTTTATGGTTATTGCAGTTTCCCTGGCTTCAGTAGTTCCACACTCCATTTTTGGAGCCAGAGAAGACCTTCTTAGGCTAGAGTGCATGATAGCAGAATATTCCTTCTGGTTTCTCCTTTGTTGGTATTGCCTTGTTGGCAATACTCTGTGGTTTTATGCCCCACTTTAAACCCTTTAGTTCATAACAGTGCAATGCTTCATGAATCTCCTTTTTTTAAAGAAGGTTGAGTCGATACACATTTTTTATCTTTGTTTTAGAATTTGTGTCTGATCTCGTAAAATTGTATGAAGCTGAGAGTTCACCAGTTATGAGAACTGGTGAAAATGAAAATGAAAGCAAGAAAAAAGTTAAAAGATAGCACCAGAGTCCAAACCTTAAAAAAAGCACATACTGTAGAGACAGCACTGCTGCTCATACTCTGTTGTCTCTCATGCTGCTGGAGATAGCTGTAGTTTGTGTGAATATTGAGTCAATGTTGGCCTGGCCAACAATTACGAGAGTAATTGTGAAATGTGTTGTGCTTATTCTATCTCGAGTTTTAAGTGCATTTGTGGTGGGTTGACCTTGGCTGGATGCCAGGTGCCTACCCAGCCACTCTATCACTCCTTTTCCCAGCCAGACAGGGGAGAGAGTAAGATGGAAACAACCTGTAAGTTGGGATAAGGTAGTTTTTTAAAGCAAAAGCTTGTGTGTGCAAAAGCGAAGCGAAAGTTAACATGGTTTATTCTCTACTTCTCATCAGCAGTGATGGTCTGCCACTTCCAAGAAGCAGGGCTTCAGCATGTTCCTTAGCAGGCAGCCAGTGGAGGTAACAAATGCCTGCCTTCCTGCTTCTTGCCTTAGCTTTTATATCTGAGCTGATGTCATGTGGTATGGAATATCCCTTTGGTCAGTTTGGGTCAACTGGCCTACTTGTGTCCCCTCCCAGGATCTTGCCCTCGATTGAGGAAGGAATGTTACAGTGTTGGTGCTGTGCTCAGCAGTAGCCAAAACACCAGTGTGTTATCAGCACCCTTCTAGCTACCAATGCAAAGCACAGCACTGTGTGGGCTATTATGGGGAAATGAACACAATCTCAGCCAGACCCAAGACAGCATTCAAGAAACAACATTAACATGAAAAAGATTCTCCTGAAAATAAGACATCAGAATAAAACCCATCAGCATATGCTGGGTTCTCTTATTCTACCCTACAGATGAGGGTAGAATTGAGGACAGGGAAACTCATTCTACTCTCCATCATGGTTTAACCCCAACCAGCAGCTCAGCCCCACACAGCCTCTTGCTCACTGTCCCACAATGGGATAGGGAAAGTATCATCAGGGTAAAAGTGAGACAAGTCATGGGTAGAGATAATGACAGTTTAATAGGTAAAGCAAAAGCCGTGCACACAAGCAAAGCAAAGCAGAGGATTCATGCACCACTTCCTATGGGCAGGCAGATGTTCAGCCGTCCCCAGGAAAGCCAGGCTCCACGACCCATAACGGTGCCTTGGGAAGACAAACATCATCATTTTAAATCTCTCTCTCTTCCTTCTGCTTCCTCCAACTTTATATGCTGAGCATGACACCATATGTTATGGGATATCCCTGTGGTCAGTTGGGGTCAGATGTCCTGGGTGTGTTCCCTCCCAACTCCAACACCAACCTTTTTGCTGGTGGGGTGGGGAGAGAAGCAGAAAAAGTCTTGACTGTGCAAGTGCTGCTCAGCAACAACTAAAACATTCCTGTTTACCAACAGTTTCCAGCACATATCCAAAATAGCACTATACAAACTATGTTGAGGAAAGTTAACTCTGTTGCAGGCAAATCCAGTACAATGTCCTTGGCCGGAAACAAATAATTAAGTCAGCATTAAAGCCTGAGACCGTGAATTCTCAGTAGGCATTTTTGCTTTATGCCTAGCATACAACAAGTGGAGCCCAGATTCTTAACAAAATAACATTAATTCTATTTTTATTCAAAAAAGGGATCACTGCATGTCCTATTTCTATTTTGGCTCTGAATATATAGTATAATTATGCTTTTAATAATCAGTGCTAGAAACAATCTCTTCAAAATCTATTTCAAGTACAGGGTTTGCGAGGTTGTTTTCCAACAGAAATACTTGCCAGAGTTTATTCAAGGTGAGTATATCATGAAGACTAGTGTATTATAATTCTGTCCTATAAATTATGTCCAAATTTCTTTAACAATATATTATTGTGTTTCTGTATAGCTTAGATAATTGATTTATTAGTGGAGAGGTTGTCAGAAAACTCATTTGCTTGCATTCTCCATTTTACATTTCTGATTATATAGCGTAAAGTATTCTGGGATAGAGAAGGGGGGGTATTTTAAAGCATTTTTTTATGTCTGTTTGTTGATTAATTTTTTTTTAAACCTGTTATGCTTTTATTAGAGGCACTGTAAAAATCAAACAAGAACAAAACCCTAATATCTTATAGAAGGAGGTATAAAGGAATGTATAAGAACAGTAGAAGAGTAAAAAAATCGTGGGAGAGAGGAGAAATTGATAAACGGGTGTCATTTCCTACTTGGTTATTGTGAAACTTGTTCTTTCCAGTACAGGGTGAACAAAGAAAATGTTTTTTAAGAGCCTTGAGGAGGCTGAATACTGAA